TTTTTTTGTGTTAGAATGAATGTTTGGATTGGCCACATTTATCATTTTTTAAGAATTAGATTTTTTTTAATGTTTAAAAAAAAGAAATCAAAAATTGAATTTTTTATTATTATTTTTTAATAAGGGCAAAAGGGTATTTTTTGGGTGCGGTGTTTAGCAAAATAGGGTGCGGTGTTTATTAACACTTTATTAGAATATAATAAACCAATTTATTTTATGTTATGTAATTTCCACGTCAATTAACACGTAAGTGTGGTTGGACATGATATAAGACGGCTGACCCATCTTTTTTAATATGATGATATGTCAATTTTTACCCATGAATAAAAGTGATATAATAAAGGTGACGGCTGAGTTGGTCTGGGTTTGACCAAATTTGACCAGGTCTTTTGTTGCACGGTCTGAATAGTCCATTCGAACTGGTTCCGGTTCCGAATCGACAAAGTTCTGGGTCGACCCGCTCATCTGGTACGGGTTGAAAAACTATGATTAGTGCTCATAATACGGTAGTACTATCACCTGAATAATTTTTTTTTTTTAAAAAATAGTTGCCAATAAATGTATCCCGATAAAAATGAGGCGGGTGGGCCGTGCAGGCGAAAGAAATCAGCCATAAAATGGTATTTGGTCGGCTTTCTTATTAATAAAGTACTGAGTAGTGCTACATGTACAATCAAAATGTACAATGAATTATACAATGAGAAGATATATCGCGATAAATTCATAATCTCGATAACTTGACAATAAAGACATTGTATTTTAATTATTAAAACACTACACTATATTGTTTCAACACCAATTATTTCTATTTTATTTTTTTTTTGTTTATTTTTAGATTATTTTATTTTTCCCTTATAAACATAATATAGAATATATCAAAGTACCATTTTTTAATAATGTATAATATTTCTTAAAAAAATACATTGGGAAAAAAATCTTCTTCTACCAAATTGCTTTTAGCAACTCGGATGTTGTCGAATATTTCAAAGTACCAATTATTAATAATGTATAATATTACTTAAAAAAATAAATATGGGAAAAAATCTTCTTTTACCAAATTGCTTTTAGCTAACTCAGATGTTGTCTCCTAGTTGCCTATATTATCGAACAGGATTTTATTTTTATTAATTTTTTTATTTTTTGCTTAGGAGCATTAATCTAAAATGTAGCTCACATTCATTAACACTCAATTGTGATATACTGTTTGCATCAATAGAATTATACAAAACATTTTTTTTACATTTAAAATTATATTATTCATATTGGCACTTTATTATCTATAACACTTAAATATAATTTTTTTCAATAAATAACAATTTATAGGTAAACATACTTTTAGTGTGAATAAAAAGTTCTGTTTGAATTAATGTTTCATAGATTAATATATAAAAATATATGACTTATGTATTTATAATTTATAGTTTTTACATTTTAACAATCTATCTTTGTTTTATTTGTTTTTATGTCTACTTATTAAATAATTAATTTATAAAAAATGAATTATATACATAAATGTACTTATTTATTTTTATTCTTATGTCTCACATAAATAATACTTATTGCGATAATATATATAATAACTGAAATATATAAATTTATGTATTGTTATTATGTAAGATAGACAACTTTTTTAAATTAAATATAAAGTACTCATCTACAAAATAATACAAGGTAAATTTATTAAGTATCATTCTGAGGGGCAAACTAGTAATTGGCTTTACAATGTCAAACTCATTGTACAAATAGCATTTTTCTAAAGTATTTTCATTATCTAATTAATTATTCTCATGCTAATCAAATTGAACAGGTCTGGTCGGCTATAATTAACCATTAAAAAATCTGAAACTAAATAACCCAACTAATATGCCAACAATAAATAGCGCCCTTCCAAATCCCCTTTCCTCACTCCCATTATCTTCTCTCTCCTTACTCACTACAACCAATCAATGTCTCCCATTAATTAAAATAAAATAAGGAAAAAAAAGTCCCATTAATTAAAATAAAATAAAATATTAAATGGCGAAGGACGTTGAGTACGCGGTGCCGGCGGCGGCAGATTTTTCGGCGAAGGACTATCACGATCCGCCGCCGGCGCCGCTTTTCGACTTTGACGAGCTGACGAAGTGGTCGTTCTACAGGGCTCTAATTGCCGAATTCATTGCCACGCTCCTCTTCCTCTACGTCACCGTCCTCACCGTCATCGGCTACGGCCACCAGACCGACGCCGCTCGCGGCGGCGACGAGTGCGGCGGCGTCGGAATCCTCGGCATCGCCTGGGCCTTCGGCGGCATGATTTTCATACTTGTTTACTGCACTGCCGGCATCTCCGGTTAGCGATTAGTCAAAAGTTTTTATAATGTAACAAAATCGATTTGATTTGATTTGATGGTAATAAATAAATAATCAGGAGGGCACATAAACCCGGCGGTGACGTTTGGGCTGTTTTTGGGCCGTAAAGTGTCGTTGATAAGGGCCGTGCTGTACATGGTGGCCCAGTGCCTGGGGGCAATATGTGGTGTGGGCTTCGTGAAGGCCTTCCAGAAGACGTATTACAATACATACGGTGGTGGGGTCAACGTGGTAGCACATGGGTACAACAAAGGCGTGGGGTTGGGTGCTGAGATTATTGGTACATTTGTTTTGGTGTACACTGTTTTCTCTGCAACTGACCCCAAGAGAAGTGCAAGAGACTCCCATGTCCCTGTGAGTTTCTCTTTTTTCTTCATTATTTCTTTAACAAATTAATATTACAACATCATGATTTATTTCATTATTATATGTTTTATTTATTCACCATGAGTCAACTTTTGTCACATGAGTCAGTTTACATGTTGGTCTCGTTTACTTGGAGGGATTTTTATTCCATGAGTTAGTTTTATTAAATTTGTAATTATTTCGATATTCAAAAGTATAACGGACATTATACATGTAATTTTTTTAACAAAAAGGTTATCTTTGTGTTGAGATAAAAATCTCACACCCTCATTATCCTCATAAGTACAGGCGTGTACCCACATGCATCCTAGATGACATCTAGGATTTATCCAATCTCGATCTTTGCTAGTAAATACTGGATAAAATTGGTTAAGGAATATTATCACATCCTATCATGATAAGTAAACGGGTTCTCACATAATAGAACTTGTCTAATAAAATAAGAGTAGTGTAATTATTTAGAGCAGGTAACCTGAACACTAGCTACTATGGTCTAATTGCATGGTCCTAATTAATACGTTAGTATTATATTATAGTATTACCTTTTGACATTGCATTTAATTAGGATACAAGTGCTATAAATCTTAATCAAGCTGGTATATTTTTTTTTATCGTTATTCTTTTAATCCTTGTTTACGGTGTGCACTGAAAAGTCTCCATGGATGTGATGTGACGGGAGTGAAATTATCATGTTGGATTAATATACATATATGAACTTGCAATACCAAAGAATATATAATTTTTAACTAAACTGTTAACATGGCAATAATACGAAGAGTTTATTAAAATTTGTGAGTTTCAATAATAGTTCAAGTTTCAAATTTAATTGGGATGAGAATGAATTTAATGAAGGGCGGTTAATTAATATTTAAAATTGAAGGTGTTGGCCCCACTTCCGATTGGGTTCGCGGTTTTCATGGTCGTCCTGGCGACCATCCCCATAACCGGCACCGGCATAAACCCTGCTCGGAGTTTCGGCGCCGCCGTGATCTACAACAAGGACAAGGCCTGGGACGACCACTGGATCTTCTGGGTCGGCCCTTTTGTCGGAGCAGCAATCGCCGCCTTCTACCACCAATACATTCTCCGAGCAGCCGCCATTAAAGCCCTCGGATCTTTCCGAAGCAACGCCTGAAAATTAAACAATTGATTTTCGGCCGTTAAATCAATAATAACTGTACATATTTGATTTCTGCTCTGTTGTTTCGTCTTTTATTTTCGTGCCTTTATTTGATAGGTTTTTCTTTTTCTTTTTTCGAAATAAATATTGTTGTGTCTTTCTTTTTTCCTCAAGTGTGAATGTGTGATATGTCATGTGTAAATTTGTCTGAATGTGTAATGTGTCATGTGTAAATTTGTCTTTGTAATGGAATGATGTCTTTCATTTGTCTGGGAACTGAGGCTTGATTGGATTTATTATCATATATTTGGAGACAATGATTAGTATTTATTAATACAATAATGCTCCTTATCCCGTCTATTTTCCACCGCAATAATCACTCTCCACTCTCTGACGTGTCAGTCTAATTATTGTTTTTTATTAACGTTTTGCTAAATCTCTCTCTCATCTTCTTTTCTTCTTCTATTCACCTTCTTCCCCAATTTTTTGTCTGGCTGCACTCATATTTATCCCCATATTTTCTTGACCTAGGGACATATCTTCTCTTATTTTTGTCCTTATTTCGAGAACCAACTCTCGACGAAATCCAGATTCGTAATGAACAGCCGCCTGTAAGCAACCAGGTTTGCAATGAACGGCCTCTTCGTTTGGGCTTCTGTTTCGGCCGGGCTCTGCCTGCCCGTAGGCTGTGTACGGGCCTCTTCGTCACGTGCAGGTACACAAGCCTCGATCCTGTCTGAGTCCACGGCGTCGAGATGGTCGATTGCGGGCGAGATCCGAACTCTGACCCGGGTTGGCCCCACGGCTGATGTCACTGATTGGACGAGAACCGCCGAACTCCGTGTATCTCAAGTTTCTACCGCTCTAGAAGTGGTGGTTCGAGCATCGTGTGGCGACCTTGAGGGCCTCCTTGTGTTCGTTTTTTTTTTTTTTGGTATAAATTGAGATTTNATGATCATGTATTTCATTTGGAATATTCCTAGTAGTTGTCATGATAAGGATCAAAGGGGCCCTGATAGTTTTCAAGGTAAGGATCAAGGGGTGCGAAAAAATAAATATATCATGCTTCAATGTTTTGTTAGAATTAAAAATATAAACAGTTTACCTTTTCTTGGAGTTGAATTGAATTGGGATAAATGCTTGGATCGGGTGGCCTTAGCATGTAATGTTCTCCAAAATTCGAAACTTGATTGACCTATTCATGTTACATAAACAAGGGAATATCATGCTTTATATTTTCATTAGATTAACAATAAAGAATATAGTGTTCTAATACAATTTACTATACCTCATTATCGAATGTAGCTTTAAAAGCAGTTGAACCGAATATGCTATTGGCTTCCAATGTTTTCATAGGTGCCTATCTATAAAAATATCTAAAAAAATAAATTTATATGCATTATATAATAGACATAAAAAAAATATGTTCATTTATACCTTTGTGCATTTCAATTTCTTTGCTTTAGTCTCCTTAAGCTTCTTGTTTTGATTCTTTTTTTTAAGTTTCTGAACCACGACTTCCAATCTCAAAATTTTTCTCTTAGTAGCAGGACGCCCTTTCCCTCGAGTAACCACAGGACTCAAAACTTTATTTTCTCCACCTAACACTTTTTGTTGCTCAACATAATTTTGAGACTGTGAAGAAAATGCTTGAACCGTTTCCTCATGTATTAATTCATCACTGCTAATTTCTAACTTTAATTCTCGTATGCCTTTCATTACCAACTCATATTTTTCTTCATCATCCGCAGCAATAATAGCAACTTCGTGGAATGCCTTGCATATTTTTTCACATTGTTGTATTTGCTGGCTCAAAGGATTGTAACCAATTCTCACCAAAGTATATCTTCGTTTTAGGTCCTTTCTCTATCGAGGCAAAATGTAGCGAGGATGAACTTCATTTATTTTTCTGCCAATTAGCATCGACATGATATGTCTACAAAGAATTCCTCTAAACTCAAACAAACGGCAAACACAATTAACTTCACGAGTAGATTCATCAAAGGATACAATAAAATTCACATCTTTTCTACTATCGCCAACTTTTACATCTTCTTCAACTTTGTACTCACATACAGAATTTTCAATTTTAACGAGAGAATGTTGGCAGTAAAATTTGTCCTTCAACTCATCTTGAAATTCTCTAAATTTCACATTTGTGTAAGCACTTTGAAATTGCTTTTCAATATCATAATTGCTCAAGCAATCAAACCAAGAATTCCAAGATTCATAATCTGCCACATTCTCTTTCTCAACCTTTCTTTTCAATGCTTGTTCATATAAAGCAACAAATTGCTTCAAAGTGGTTTTATGATTAACAAACCCTTTAAAAAAAGGCATTCATACCTTCACTCCTTTATGTGGTCGACATACCTGCCCAGAATGAGTTTTTCACATACGTAGGAACCCAACGTTCTCTATCAGTATATAATCCCTGCAACCATTCATTGTCATGAAGATTATAACCACCAATCATCATTGACCACCCACTGTCAAACTCGTCTTCAGTAAGAGCATCATAAACAACTGTTTGCATGAAAGTCTTGATGTCTTCTTATTCGGAATATCCACTCAATTTTTCTGGAATTTTTTTCATTATATGCTATAAGCACAATCTATGTCGAGTACTATTGCCGAAAACAATTTCAATGGCATTTTTCATGGCCTTACATTGATCAGTGATTATGCCCTTAGGACGACATCCAGACATGCACTTTAGCCACGACTCAAATAACCAGACAAATGAATCTGTGTCTTCATTAGTTAACAACCCACAACCAAACAATACAGATTGTCCATGATGATTCACGCCGACAAATGGAGCAAAAGGCATTTTATATTTGTTAGTTAGGTACGTCGTTTCAAACGTGATCACATCTCCAAAATCTTCATAAGCAGCCCTACTTCGACCGTCTGCCCAAAGCAAGTTTCTAATACGAGACTCTTCATCAATGTCCACGACTGAGAAAAAGGTTTTATCCACTTCTTGCATTTGAGCAAAATACTTGCAAACTGCTTCAGCATCTCCAACACCAAGTTTGCTTCTTCTTACTTTCTCGATATGGTTGCGACAATCTTTCTCATTAAAAGTAACATTCTCATACCCATTAGCTTCTACAATAAGAGAAAGATAGTTCTTACTCACACCAATCCCAGCTTCATCATTTACCTCAAGCCTTCTTTTCACATGATCAGCTATCTTTCTGTTGCATCGAAAATGACGTGCTTTTCCAGGACTTAACAAATGGTCGTGATCAAGATGAACTGTTGTCACTCGAATATTCCCATCATCACACAATGTCAATCTTATCTTGGCTTTACAGCCCGTTTTTGTTGAAAGCCTTGGGGCAAATGAATTCTTCCCTGTAGATTTTTTCTTCTGGTCATTTTTAACACATGCAAAAGTAAAGTATCTGACAACACCATCATCTCCTCGTTTTGAGCTTCTTTTCATTACACCAAATCCCTTCTGTATCCCATAATTAGAGTAATATGAATATGCTTCTTCTTGAGATCTAAAAACCATTCCCAACGTTGGTTCTTCAATAATTTCATTCTCGTTCATTATCTGTAAAAAAAAACATTAAAATATATTAAAATATGCATAAATATAACAAAATCATTTAAATATTTCCACCATATATTGAACACAGAAATATTAATTTTAAATGCTTCAGATTAGTTGACATGCTAACAATAAGATAAAATTCAAAATTGTAAATTTTAGATTAATAACTATAAAAAAGGGCAAAAAAACTAATATGAAAACATAAATAAATAACTATGCCTACAACTAGAGCCAAAGTATACAATTTTTTTACATATTCAAAATGGCTAAAGTTGTAATTATAATAAAACAATAAAAACATAAATAAATAATAAAGTAGTTAAATTCTGTAGAGAAGCAGGTTAAATGAAAATTCCTACAAGCATACCTTGTTATGGGTATAGAGAAGCAGGTTGAATTAAAATACAACGGGAACGGAATATGGTTTAGAGATAAAGAGGATTTAAAACTTTTAATAAGATATAATTAATTTTTTAAGAGATAAAGAAAAGTTAAAGACTTTTAACATTCCTCTGACTAGGCACACACGTCAGGGAGTGGTTTTTATGGAGTAGATATTGGAGGGGCGGTAGCGGTACCGTTATTATTATCAATTTATTTTATGTTTTTATGTAATTTCCACATCAAATAACACGTATGATGCCGCATATAAGGGCATCCACAACCCTTTAACACAAATATCATTCATTCAATCAAAAAGTAACACACTCTCTCATCCACATCATCTTCACATCATCTTTTCACTAAATCTCTTTCTATTTAAACACACACTCACATTCCTACACATTCATTTAAATACATATGTGGGATCCATTATCCACTCATTTAATATAATATAAAAAAAAAGAAGCATAAACGCGTTCAATGAACTGAACGCAATATCGGGCCCTAAAACTTTAATGAACACTCACAACCCTGTGAACGCCAAGTGGCGTTTAAACGCCAAAAAATAACATGGCGATACGGGTGCTCTAAGTGTGGTTGGAACTTGGACATCAAATATAAGCACGGCTGACCCATCTTTTTTAATATGATGATATGTCATTTTACCCATGAACAAAGGCGATAATATGTCAAATAAAAATAAAATATTGTAAATAAATTATAAATTTTTAAAATGTCGTGGTTTTTTAGCTCCTTTTCCTTTCCCATAAACGTTTAAATTTGTGAATTGGGCTTGCAATGAATAATAACACTCTTGGGTGGACACATCACTATCACCAAAAGTAGCATCTATACAATGGATTAGTTTGAACTTCGAAAGCATAAACGCATCTAAGTAATAATGTAAATAGTGTTATTAGTATCCGATCATGCGTACATGCAAAAATTTAAATAAAATTTTAAATGTTATGTGTATGTATGGAATATTTAAATATAAGTTAGATAATGAGCATATTACATTTATAAAAAAAATTATCTTTAATACAAATAAACGATATAAATATAAGTTTTTTAACTTATATATTAACTTTATATAAATTAAAATAATATAGTTTTTGCAATCTTAGTTGATTATTACAAATAATTAGATAAAAAACAACATGAAATTATTATCATAACAATTGTGTACAGAACTTTAATGGGTTTGGTTATGCCATAAAAAATAATTTACTAAATTCAATAAAAAAAAATGCCCAATGAGATAAAAAAAATGTTAAATAATAGTTTGAAATAACGTGGTTTTATAACTAGTAAGTAGAGAATTCCTTCCTTCATGAAAGAATTAATAGGAAAAAGAAATATAATGGAAGAGACAGAGGTGGAAGTTATAAGTTAGGGTTCGGTTAGGGGTATATGAAATGAAATAAATAAAAAATATTATTACTTAATTAATGTAAACTATAACAGCAAAAAGTGGAAAAATAAAAATAATTTCATAAATATTTTGCCAACAATTATAGATATAGATGTTGGAAATTTCCGGTGAAAAGGGTAAACTATAGTTCAACACAACCAAATAATAAAAAAAAAGTTTGAAAAAAATGTGCAAGCAAGAAATATTGGATTTAATGTGCTTTGCTTTTGTGTGGTGCTCATAGATAAAAGATACCTCCACGCAGTTGCTTTGTCATTCATGTTTTAATTAATTAAGTGAAGGACCTTCACGAAACGTTATAGGTCACTGGTACACGTTATCTATATTATCTATATCTATATCTATATGTATAAAGAGGTTGTTAGAAAAATAATTTAATAAAAAGTTTGACCAAATAAATATAATGTTTGACTTACTATTAATGGAAAGTTCAAAAAAAAAAAACACATGTGAATTTCTAGTAACAAAATCTAAATCCTATCTTTTTGGTTGGAGATTTTTATGGCAAAATTTAAATCTCATTTTTTCATATCATATTTTATTTTTTTACCAAAATTTAAATCATATCTTTTTTGGTAACAAATTTAGAGATTCTTATGTAAAAAAATATGTCAATTATTTATGGAAACAATTCTAAATACAAATTAATTTAAAAACCGTGCAAACTGGATAAAAAATTTATGAAGCAAATAGTTGTATAATTCTTAACCAATTCTTCCAATCTTATTGAATATTTTTTTTTTCAAAAAAATTGTATAAATTGGATTGCAATTTTTATTTTAAAATAAAACTGATATTTGGACGGGATGTACATTCAAAATTGTGTCCACATTTTTTTGTAACAAAAGCGGTTCATCATTGATATTTAAAGCCACCTTATCCAATTATTTAGGAAAAATTATGTGCAACTTTTTAAAATTTAAATGCATTGATTTTTTTTTGGATTATTATGTATTTTCTTAACCATGTTTTACCGAGATTTTGGTAAGTTCATATTAGTATTATTTTTTTCTGGTTAAGTTCACATTATCTTCTTTAGGAAAGAGACAGTTGCATAAACATTAACAATTTATTTCAATATTTTATTAGAATTATTTTCAATTCAATTTGTTTGGTACAAAAATCGGTGTAATGTTAGGAAAATTCGGTTGCATTTTTAGAAAAAATTGGTGATTTTATTTATTTGGTTAAAAAAAATGGATCAATTTGTTTGATTAAAAAATCGGTTATTGGTAGAAAAATCGGTTTCATTTCCAAGAGTAACTAATGATTCTTTTCAATTTTTCTTAATTGGAATTTAGAATTAGATTTAAAATAAATAATGGGTGAAAATCCCAAAAAAATTCTACTTTTTTTTCTACTTTAATTTTGTTTAATAAATAAGATCCTTTAATATTTTTAAAATTTGTTACCTAATAACTAATAATATGCAATTTTGGATAAATTCCAACACCTATATAGTACTTTACGTGCCAAAGAATCAAATCAATAATGTTGTACATAAGGAAGTGTTTAATAACATATAAATTTTATTTTCATAAAATTTTTAATGGCATAAAACAATTTAAATACAAAAATATTTTTTAAAAAATAAATGAGTAGTAAATACTCTCGTGCATCGCACGGTACCGTACTAGTTTATATAACTATAACATTAAAAAATTAGCTCATTTTCGCTGCGATAACACTTGTTAATCTTATCCTTATCCTGTGTCCTATTTTTTGTTTTTTTTGGTACAATCCTGTGTCCTATTTAAATTATGCTTTTGCAGAGTTGTTGAATCATCAATTTGGGATGATGCTCATTTGCTCTATTTGTTTCCTCCAATTGGCAATTACTAAATTGATATGGAATATTTTATTAAATGAAACAAAATAATTGAATGCGAGTATCAGTTGGCAATTGGATGATGCGCATTTGCTCTATCTGTTGCCTCCAATTGGCGATTACTAAATTTGGAATATTTTTCTTTAAAAAAAAAATAATCAAATGCTGAGTTTCAGTTTGCAATTCTATCTATATATATTGGAAGAAGTTAGATACAATAATCTTACATATTAACTTTGACTATTCAATTAAATATGTTTAGTTACTACTAGTGCATAGCTCGTGCGATGCACGAAAAAATTATATAAAATAATAATTATAAATTAATGAGTGAGTAAACAATATTGAATAATAATTATAAATAATTAAATGGAGCTAACATGAGATACCATTTACAATATAAAAAATTATCTTGTCTAAGATAACATAAAACATGCATGTTTAAAATATTAAAAACACCTAAAATATTATATAACATATATAAGATTATGTAAAATATTACATATTATTCTTAAAAAAATTTGAATTCACCAAAAATTTTTCTAAACTATTTTGTAACCAAAACATGTCTAAGGATATTTAAATTTAACATATACATATAATTTAATCTATAGAATGCGTTAAAAATTTACTCAAAAAAAATGTTTAAAACTATAAAAAAATATTAGTAATTACAAATTACTCCAACAGAAGATTTCAAATTCGAAATCATAAAATTTAAACAAAATAAGTCAAAGTTTTGAAAAAAGTGTAATTTATGAAATACATGTCAAATTGAAAAACATAATATTAGCGGTTTCCAAAATATAAGACTGTATCTATTTCCAAAATAGGATTATCGGTTTCGAAAAAACATAAATTTCGAACTTATAGTATTTGAAATCTGAAATTTTGGTATTATTAAATTGAAAGAGTACCAACCTTTGAAAATTAATAAATTTTTAAAAGTAATGAAATTGTTGCATGTTAGATTCAAGATTTGTTGCGATTTTTAACAAAACATCGTTGATTTGATTGTCCAGTAGAATTTTTCATTATATCCGATTTTGTTGCAACCAAATCCTAGGGGATCTGAAAATTTAAATTTTCAATTCAAATTTGGTTTACTTTAAATTAAATTTATGTAAAAATATGTAATTTCATTTTGTCTAATTCAAATTTTGTATTCAGCCCGATTTTTTTGGCAACCATATGATAAGGAATAAAAAATTTTAAATTTAAATTTGAAATGATACTTGATATTAGATGCGATCAATTTTTTTCTAAAGAATAATGAAATAGAATTTTGAATTCGACAAAGTTATAAATATATATTTAATTTTTGATTTATAGAAAAAGATGTTATTGTATTTT